TTTTTAGGAATGCTACGGTGTGCCTTATGTCCCCGAAGGACCTTGGCTCTGTCGTAAGTGTTTGCATTCCCCCAGCGAACCAGTTTCTTGCGTTCTTTGTCCTAATCGTGGTGGAGCCTTCAAGAAGACTGCGGACGATCGTTGGGCTCATGTTATTTGCGGTCTCTGGGTTCCTGAAGTAATGTTCGCCAATTTGACATTTTTGGAACCCTTGGAAGGGATTGATGACATTGCTCCCGCCAGGTAAACTGTTATTTTTGTCCTGCTGTTGAAATTTCTATCTGCTACTATATGTCGGTTCATCTTCCATAATTTTTAAAACGTCTTGGCGCCGTCTTTGTTAGTGCTTTTCGGGTAGCCGCAGCTGGCCATCCGACCCATCGTATTGTGGCTGTCAGTCGACACCTTGTCAATAGAAAATTGAGCTCCACGAGCGACGCTTGATACAGCCGGTTGGGTTTTGCATCACCCACCGTATGTTTGGATTGCAACACTCAACCGTCATTTGAACTGGTATTTACTGTGAAGTAATTCTCCTTTCAAGTGGTATTTCGCCGCAGTTCCCTCTGAGCCAGCAGGCTCCTACGTATGTGGAAAAGCACCAGACAGCTGTTTCGACCTTCTTGGTTTCATCAGTGGTGCGCGTTCTTCGGACCTCTGCCGGGTTCCCCCCCCCCATGACCTCCAGGTGCCAGCAGCTTGTGCAATTAAGCCATGGGTGACGGCCGCGGACTTGTATGACTGACAGTTGACTACGATATAGTGCGGCTCATCATCAAAGATCCGTCCGTATAAATTCTTAGTGCTGTGTCGTACACAGTCGCTTTACGGAAAGTCGTTGTTCCTGGGGCCAGCCACTGTCCGCTGCACAGTTCCTAATTGACATGGCAGTGGTGGATGAGCCAGGTGAATCACCTTACCGTCAATTAAACATGGCCTGTGTCATGGTCACACACGGTTTGTTTGAAGTACCTATCAAAATTGCAATCAAACATTTTTGCATACCCACATGGGAAACACGATTCCGGCTATGGTGCGTGCCTAATTTTCAGGTCACCTAACACCCGAACTCAGGTTCCGCGCGAAATTTTCACGCATCAACTGTCACTGACAAAATAGGTACATGAGACGAAAAGGAGCACTGTGAATCGGTTCTCTACTCAACACAAACTATTTAAATCGCGTATTCATTTGTAACGCCGTCTAGTTCACTAGGAGCAGGGAAGCCAGTTTCAGAGTAACCGTAACGTCTTGAAGCGTCACGTGATCAGGATTGCCCGGGAGACTTGACGGGTGATGGAAGAAAGTAGTGTTGTTGGAAACACACAATCAAACTACACAATCAATGTGTAGTCTTTTTGAGTAACCCGTTAAAAATTGCAGGGGAACCGTAGTACGAATGTGGCAGAATGCATGCAGTCACGAATCTAAGAATCAAATCACGGGATACAGAAAGTATTTTAAGTCGAAAGGCGCAAAATCAGCTCATTTCAGTTCAGTTGGCCAACTATGTCGTGTTTCTTGACATCAAAGGTGCCTTCGACTCAGTCGATCGATGTGCCCTTTGGGACTGTCTGTTGAGGAAAGGTGTGCCTGATAAATATATAAACATTATCAAAGCGCTGTACGCACATAGTTCAGGCAGGGTGAGGGTTTATGGCAAACTGTCGCCACCCTTCAGTATCACCAGCGGTGTGAGACAAGGATGCCCGCTGTCACCTTTCCTCTTCAACTTCGCTATTGATGAAGCCATGGAAACAGCGTTCGCTGGACACGATCTAGAAGGTGTGGAGCTACTTCCTGATGAGCGACTTCTTGACTTGGAGTATGCGGACGATATTGCCCTAATCTGTGACAGCTCCCAAACATGCCAAACAGCAACGGACCGATTAGTACTGGCTGTCAATCGTTTTGGGCTATGCTTTGCTCCATCGAAATGCAAAGTACTTCTCCAAGATTGGCAGGGACCCAACCCTGCGCTAATGCTTGGTGGTGATTTGCCAGAAGTCGTTCAGGAATTCAAGTACCTGGGCAGCTATATTAGCACCCGTAGGATTGAAGATGAGGTTACGAACCGCATAGCAAAAGCTTGAGGTGCTTTTGCCAATCTTCGCCACCTGTGGCGCAGACGCGACATTACTCTCGCCCTGAAGGGCAGAGTTTATAACGCAGCCGTCCGTTCAACTCTCCTATACGGCTGTGAAACCTGGCCCATCAGGTCGACAGACATGAAGAGACTCGTCACGTTCGATCATCGCTGCCTTCGCAGCTTAGCTCATGTCTGGTGGGAACACCGCGTGAGCAATGAGCGTGTTCGACGTCGCGTATTTGGTGCAGGAAGAGCGAGTGAACCGCTCAGCACGATTATATCACGCACCAGGCTCCGATGGCTGGGCCACGTGTTGCTCATGCCAGCACACCGACTCCCGCGACGTGCAGTGTTTGCGCGTTGTGGGTGCGGTTGGAAGAGGAAAAAGGGAGGCCAAGTGATGACTTGGTCGAGAGAAATGAAAACCCTCACTTCGAAATTGGCGTCGGTTGGTGCATCCCGACTGCCTGGCTGGGGTCCTAAGGACGGTGAACACGTTTGGTTGGACACACTTGCTAATATGGCTTGGAGCCGGCCCCAATGGCGTTTGTGTTGTGAGTTCCTTTTCCATCCCCCTCCTGCTTAGCATCCCCCTCCAATCATGATCTCACTTGTTAGTCGTAATGTGACTCTTTTACGGCAGCCAGCTGTTAGCTCTCCGGAACGATGTCCATCCGTTACTGGGGACTCAGCGGGCGTGCCACTGTTTGTTTTCCTTTTCTTGTCTCTTGTATTGCGGCACAATAGCTGAGCTGTTTTCCACCTCCAGCTAACGTGTAATGATGATGATGATGATGATGGTGATGATGATGATGATGATCCGAGCACAGAAATGCGATGGATAAAGTTGCCACGACTCACATCGCAAGGATAACAATTAATAACAACGGTAAGGTAGTATGGTTAAACGCAAATAGAATGCAAGAACATGGAATAAAGAAGGAAATGCGTTAGACTAATCAGAATGGAACGTAAATTAACAACCAGATGAAAGTGGCCGGATGCAGCAAAGCCACTGGTTGCGTTACTGCGCTGACAGGGTGTCCAACCTTGGTGTGGGCCGTCCCGAGGCCCCCACAAACGAAGACGGCACGCACCAGTCTGACCAAGCCTCTCATTCAATATTTTCAGGCTTCTATGCCATGTTATGGACTGGCCACCTCGCGGTTTCGCTCAGCTTGGTACAACCACGGCGTATAATGCACGCCGAGGAAGCCGATCAACGAGCATACGGATGACATCGCCTAGCCAACGCAAGCTACTAAGATATTTCAAACAGTCGAGAGGGGAATCCGAAGGCTTCTTGCCGAAAACCAACTGGCGGACCTCAGCATTGTTCACCCGATATTTTTACCAAAGGCGAGCAATGCTCCGCAAGCACCAGTGGTCAAACACGTCCAAGCGTTTAATGTCTTCATTGGGAACTGGCCGGGTCTCTGATCCATACAGTAACACCGGTGTTATCGCAGCGTTATACACCTTACCTTTCATTGACAAGCTGATATTCCGCCGTCTCCACAGATAGTTGGGTCTCTGAAAAGCCACACGGCCCTTCCTGATGCGCGAGGTAACTTCCTCAGTGATGTGACCACCAGAGGTGACACAGCTACTACAGAAAGTGAACCGATCCGACACTTCCAGTGGCTGTTCGGAAACAACTAAAACCGGGAGTGTGTCGGCCCAGTCTTGCAACAGCACTTTACATTTGGAAGGTGCAAAGTACATGCCGAACCGTGCAGCGCTACGCACAAGCCTGTGCAGTAGTGGTTGCATAGCCAAAGCATCAGACCGAACGAGAACTATGTCATCCGTATACTCCAGGTTTTTCAGTTGGTCGTCTGACAGAGTAGTCTGAAAGAACCAAATCATTCACGATCATTTCGATCACAAAGTTGAAGAGGAAAGATACAGGACAACTCTGAAAAGCCCCACTTGTCTTGCTGAACTCAGGAGATTTTCCCATGAACGCTTACGCGAACTCGGGAAACACGGTAGAGGGACTTTAGAATGGAAAGGAATATAGCTGGTACGTTTTGCATGGATAAGGAGTGCCACAAGATGGCGCGATCAACAGAGTCGAAGGCGGCTTTTAAGTCGAGGAAAACCAACACAGTCGGTTGTCTGTATGTGTATTTATGTTTGACGAATAGTACATATGTGGTCGATGCGACCAGGACCAGGGCGAAAGCCAGCATTGCGTTCAGTGATTCGGTCTTCACGGAGACCAGTAAGTCATAGCAGAACGATGCCCGTGGGAAGTTTTAGGGCAATGGAAATAAGGCTAATGTCTCGATGATTTTCGCACAAAGTACGCTGACCCTTCTTGAAGATGAGCATGACAGTTGATAGTCGCCAGTCTGAAAGCACTTCTTCAGTATCCCAAATGGTGCTAAAAAGAGAAGCAAGTCCAGTCAACGCAGATCTAGCTGAATTATTCTTCCACCCGCGGAAGCTCTGTAAATCGTTGCGTCGAATGAGCTAAACCAGCATACATGACATACATTTGTGGTATACTAGCCTGATGAAAAATCACTGATGTCTACACCTGGAATATTTATTGTTATCATAACGATGCGCTTTATGACAATCCATCCTGCTAAACTTCGGTGCTGGATCGTTGTTGTTTAACTGAACTAAACTGATCTTACTTCTTGTTCAGATGGCGACTTCAGTGTTTCATCTGCAAGCAGCGTAACGTTGGTGCATGCATCCAGTGTCAGCAAATCCAGTTGTTATCGTGCTTTTCACGTGACATGCGCTCAACACGCTGGTCTGTACATGAAGATAGAGCATACGGATGACCCGGGTGATGCAGGAATACGAAAGAACGCGTTCTGCGACCAGCATTGTCCTCCCAATCATTTTACGGTACGTACCCAAAACTCATCTCCCTAACTGAATCAGTCTCATCCTTATGCTGCGTCTTGGAGGGAAAACGCGTTCTCCTTTCCTATTTGCAGAAGCCCAAATACAAGTGGTGCCAAGACTAGGTCTAAGCCCGTCGAGAAACCTAAACCTAAACTGTCATCTCCGTCTAAAATAAAGCCAGTTCTCGACAGACTATCCGAGCTGGGGAAAATGGTCAAGAAAAATCCGTTCCTTAGCATGCCACAAGTCGCTGAGCGCACCCAGCCATCTCCCGACCGTTGTCTCATAATCATGAACTCAGCTGAATCGGGAATAGCAACCCTCGCGGAAAGAATACTGATGACCACACACTGCTTGAGCGGTCGATCTCGTTGCTATTTGATGAAGGCGAACAAAGGATCAATATTGTACCTGCCTTCCGTCTTGGTAAAAAACAAGAAGATACCTCCATGACTCGCCCCCTTAAAATCGTTTGCGAAGGACCTCGCGTCTCAAAGGTGAGCCATTCTACGTACTTCGTGACCTCTCTCCAGAGGGTCGAGTCAAAATGAATAAGGCTATAGAAGAACTACGGGCTAGACGGGGAAGTGGTGAAACAGACCTCCATATTGTGGATTTTCGAGTAGTTCGGAGGACTCCGAAAACCCGTTGGAGGCCCATTCTCCTCACCCCCGGACAGCAAACTATAAGAACGGACTGCGCTAGTTGTCTGCTAATGTGCGAAGTCTAAGGAATAAGCTAGACGAGATTCATTTGCTCGCCTCAAAGATTCATCCAGACCTGATGACCTTCACTGAAACGTGGTTCTCAGAAATCACAGACTCAGAAGTGTCTGTTCTGTAGAGGTACGTAAAAGTCTTTGTCCCTTTCCGCTGAGAGTAGGGCTGATGCGGAGACAGAGATTATTGTTGGATTCATCGGGTGACCTTTGAAACGTGTAACGGCTATTCTAGCTGATACTGGCTTCCATGAAAGGAGAGCGTGGTGTGCCTGGCAACGGAGCCATGGCGATCCCATGATTGCCAGAACTATCTTCCGGACCACTGTGGTAAAGTCAGTATGAGATGTCTACACCAGAGATTTTGATTTGTCAAGAGCCATAGCCGGGTATTCGAGATTCTGACAGACATGTTATGTGGATCTAGTAGTCATGTGGTGTGCACATCGTCAACACTTGGCTGTCGACATCCAACAGGTTTCTGACATTCCAGCATCCGATGAATAGTGGCTTCCGGGGTTGAGGGACCCAACTGGCTTACTTGTCACTCTGGCCACTGGGTTAGCGCAGAGCGCGTCGCCTACTGGGAACGCGATAGCATGAGAATTAGCGCGGGTAACGGACATATCATGGTGTTTCGTGGGGATTATAGGTACGTATGACGACCCAAACCTCATCCGGCTTTTGTTCGAGGGTTCATCTCTAGTCTTTGCACAACCAAGTGCTACCTGCAAGGCAGCAGGAATCTTGGCAATTATCTTAACTTCTGGCCGTTGGATCAGGGGTCGACCTCTTCCGCCCATTTGTCAGGACTGATGCTGCACCCGGGTGGAAACTCACCGAGAATAGTATTCCCGGCCACCCTCATTTGGTTTAGCCCATCTGTCTGATAGTTGACCTGGGTGTGGCCGCTGCCGCGTGCAAGCAGCTTCTTGGAGCCACAGAGAGAGATGGATGACAGGTGGAGACCAAAGATAGGCGGACTACCCTGGAGGGTAAGGTAGGTCCCCTGCCAGAGTTGCTACTCCTCCCTGGCACCCCGGTCTAATTAGGTCCTTAAGGACCTTCGCACTGTAGTAGATTGGTCGTTGAAATGGGATCTGCCTTTAAACGCCAATAAATGCTAGTTACTGGCTTCTCGAAATGAAGCGATTACGGTGCTAACGTCTGTCGGGCCTCTAAATCTGCGATATGCAGGTGGATCAGCCGGACTGAAATAATGCATTCTGTCATCATCAACCCGCTTGCTGCTATACTCCTTCATCCCGTCTTAAATCCGTTGGACGTCGCCGTGGGAAGGTGTCTTCACAGACTGGAAGCAGGGTGCTATTTTTTCGATCCACTATAGGGCTTCACATTTGTGTTCTCCAATCGTGTGCTTATCATGTTGACATGTGCTCTGCCCAAGTGCTGGCTGAAGCTTATGATGAAGTGCACGTACGAACGCTTGCATGTTCAAAGCCTGATAAGGCCGAAACAGCATGGCCTTATTGTGCTTCTTCCATCGCAACGAGACTGAACCTTAACGTGATGCGATGGTTTGCTTGTCTCATCGATCCACTGAGCTATACTGGGTGGTGCTTTTTGCACCTTCAGAGCCACTCATACCAGAGTGGTTAGAGGCCAAACAAGCTCATTCTCATCGCCCTCCATGTTGGGGGTTGGAGGGATGGTGGCTCCTTACTCTCTTAGGCGGACTCTGCAGCCAATCGTCGAAACCCCGCTGCCTTGCGGTCAACTTTTTGAACCAAAAACGTTGGTTGTGAACCCTAATCGTTCTCCTGTCTAGGCCTGGGCAACCTGACAGTACCTTGCCCGCACAGTACCACTCTATCAACTTCTCTCCACATGATTTCTTGGCGCTCTTGCCGTTGCAGAGGATAATAAATACACCCCATTTTCTGCATCGAACAGGGTGGATAGTGATAATGATGCTACTGCTTAAGCCTTTCCATCTTCTTATTCCATTTATTACACTCTTTCATCCCTATTATCCTGCCCAAAATTCACTTTTATTCCCCTAAGTTTTCAACCCCCAATTCTTGGCCCCTCCCCATCTTGTTACATTGGTCACTTGTTTTCTAGTTTAGGTTCACGCGTCATCGCAGGACATCACTGCAGTCCAGTCGATAGGTCCAAGTACGACCAAGCGGACGTCAATTCATCCTTCTCCATTTGGAGCCCCTGATCATCGCTGAGACTGACATGCCTCAACGTGCGAACTTTGTTGCAGATTGGCCAACAAGCAGCACTTGCCCAACTACTAGAGACCCTCTCGATCGACATCTGCTGCTTATCGGGAACCTGCTTGCAAGCTCCGAGTTCTGTACTTACCCTGCGATCCCCAACAGGCGACAATAACAGCGGCTTCTCACTGCATTTGTTCGGAGATAACGAAGCTTCAAATACTAGTCAGGTCGCTGTTGGCATTGCTTTGAGTCCCCGGGCTGAACAGCCAAATGTGCGCAGTCAGATTGGCTGGCTCGTTCAGAGCTTCGAGGTCGCGCTTAGCCAAATAGTGTCTGTCATTGCGGCCTATGCGCCCACAAATTGTAGCGCTGATTCGTTGAAAGATGAATTCTGTCACCAACTGAACGAGCTCTTTCGTTACATAAAAGTACGGATGCTGTGATACCGGCTGGCGATCTGAACGCTCAAGATTAAGAACTGTCCACTTATGAGCTTCATTTAGGTGGCCAACACTATTTAAACTCCTGTACTGACAACCGCGTGCGGTTGTTGCATCTCTGTGAAGACTCGTCTACTTCTCGCGAGCACTAGCTTCTGACACAGCACCTGCAGAACAGTGACATGGCGCCCACCCGCCTCAAACCAGCCATTGACACAACTCGACCACATCGCGATCCGTTACCGCCAGAGAGGCTGTGTCCAAAACTGCCGCTGGATTTGGAGTATGAGCACAAACTCTGACCACGCACTTGTTTGTGCGAATTTTACGGTTCCCTTCGGTGGGTACATGCGGCGTCGCTGTGAACGCATAGATACATGCCAGCTGGCGAAGCCGGATATTTTGGATGTGCATCAAAGTACGCTGACATCCGGGCTGGGTATTCGCTCTCTGAACACAGTAGAGGGACACCAGTCGCACATCACATGCGTTATTACTAGCATACATGTCTTCTTGTGGCAAATCAAGTTGCCCACCTAGACATTGGGTCTCTATGCAGTATCTGGAATTTTTGGATGCTGCCTGACACAATCCGGCTGACAGAACACCACTAGACTTGACGCGTAACATGTTGCTAAGTAGGGGGCTACCTGTTTTGCATTCTGCATTGTTCAGTATCTTGCTTTCTTCGTATGTCTTATCTTTATGTATTGCGGCAAAATAATCGAAGCTAATGTGTAATGATGATGATCATATTCCGCTACTTAGACGAGTTCGTTTCACTATAACGAAATTCCGGTGTGCATTTGTTATTTGGGCTTCAGCACAGCCTCTGACTCAGCCAACCATCGATTCTTACTAAGGAAGTTGAGGTGGTTCGGGCTGCATTATTACATTTTGAATTGGTTATCCGAGTCTGTGGAGGGAATTTCCATGTCAAAGAGGACGAAGTTAACTCTACCATAGAGCTCACAATAAGGTCTTATGGTTCGATGGTTGGTCGATTGCTGTTTCTTGTATCCTCTTCTTGTAGGCCCTTGCCATATTTTTGCAAATTCCTTAAAACTCGTTAGCAGAAGTCATCTTGCCGGATCGTCAAAAAACCTGAGCACTAGCAAAATGGTCCGCTTCGCTGGATTTGCACCTAGGCGTCAGTGAATGTCAGCTGTAGACTTCAGGTATTGATGAGATTACGGTGCGAATTTCTATTTGATCGCTAGCATTTCGACCTATCGTAAAAAGCATGGGATCTAAGTGCTATTTTGGCGACCAGCCTCAGATGTAGTACCAGCATGCTACCAACAGAACGCAGCAGGAACTATTCCGCGCTAGGATACCACAGCGCGTTACTGAGCTTGGGGTCTTCCTTTGTAGGAAGGGACGGTTTGACCAGCCTTATAATAGTATGTTTGGGTTTGTGCACCGTATCCCACGAAAGACGTTATTTGTATTGAGGAAATACGACTGACTACTATAGTGATTGAATGCCAGAGTAAAAAAACAAAATGATTGGTTAACTATTTAGAGCTTTCCATTGAAACATTACAGTTTAAGAGGCCGGATTACAGCATTTAAGATAGAAGGAAATTTCACTGACCGTAAGCCTGTTAGTCAATCTGAACTAACCGTATCCGGACAGTAACGAAAACTTCGTCCAAAGTTCAAGCAGCAGTGGTTTACTCTGGACATGAAAACATTTTTCACTAATCATTTGATGCATGATCGGAATATACTTTTCTTCTTGCAAATGGTAAATGCAGCAGAAGCCTTCAGATGGAGTGCATGTAAGACTATTGAGTGTTGTAACTAACAGACCACGGTCGAGGGATAGTATTGTCACCAAATATGCTATGGCGGATCAGATGCGCGATATGCCAAGGTGTGTTTTAAGCACCAACAAGCCGCCAAGCTACTCCTTAGGTAGGAACCAGTTTCGTGGCAAGTGGTCCGTTATCTACCTGAACTTCACTGGTTCAATCGAGTTGACCTTTCCTTGTCGACACATTTTCATGATTTTGACAGTCACTTTTTGTTACTTTTCTTTACAAAATTGAGAAGGATCAGCCGTACTCCGGAATATGATGTGCTCTGGCTTCTAGACTAGCACACGAAACGGCGACGACCGGTATCGTCGGTTAAACCTGATCAGA